GTAGCTTTGTGCTTAATTACAAACAAACTGTACAGTACGTTTTGAAAAAAAATGCAGTGTAGTTATTAAAAAGGTAAGAAATAATAAAATAAAACTTATTAATTTGTTTATGCTGTTAATCGTTAAATCACCTTAAGATTCTAATAAATACTATGTTCATATTAACGAGTTTGTTCTTTTAATCAGTAACGCAAACCGAAGAGTAACGAGCTGAAAAATAATTAGCCCAATACCGAAAAACTTTCAAAGACTTTACTAATTAGAGTTAAACCTTAAGAAATAGAGCAAAAAAAAAAATGTAATTCTACTGTTTTACACACTTCTAAAACACCGGAACACCACCGATATGCGTACAGTATTGATTTAACTCGACCATTTCGTCAGACAATCGCTCTAAAGGTTTCTTACTATCTGATCTCACACTCGGCTTCCTAAAACATTCTCAGAGTTTGAATACAAACAAGGCTTCGCGTAATTTCATGCACAGAAACTGTAGAACTAACAAGATTCACATATTGGTTAATTTAATCAGTGCAATATATTTTCTCGCTCAAAATCACAAGAAAACCTAACCTAAAACTTCAAAACAATGAAGCGATAGTTGTAAAAAAAAAAAAATCTATATTCTCTAAGTAGCACTCAGCCACCAGTAACGTGCTGTTGTGCGTTGTGTATTGCAATTGTGAAATTAATGTTATTTCATGACATTATCAGTGTAGTCGATTGGAGCCGACAAATAAGTATAATTCCAGTAGTTTCATAAATTCAGTAAAGTTTTGTTAATAATGAATCGATTAATATCGAGTTTTTGATAAATGATCGTAAATTGAAAAGCGGAATAACCACCAATACAATGTGCAACAAAATCGTGACATGCATTAGTTTTTACAACAGATATGATATTACAACAGATATATTACAACAGATATGATATGCTGGGCTTTTGTTCTTCCTTAATTACAACTGATAAATAATCGATCAGGATGAATTATTATTGTTACGACATCGAGGTCACGTGACTGGTATCACGCCACGTCATTCTCGAACATTCACATATTTTCCTTAAATCTCGTGATCCTTCTAGATATAGTGTAGTCTTGTATATATAAGACCGGCCACGAAGCGACGTGGAAGTAATGAGTAATTGAATGTATGCAGACAGAATATGTATCGTAAAGTTGTATTCGGAAAGAATAAACCAGTTTTATTTAAGTAAGGACTTGTGTCGCTAAAGTTCAGTTGGAAAGAATTTACGGAAAATTAACTAACGAACGGAGGCGTAACATTATATTAACTCACCAAAGAAAGATGTCTATGAAACCAAGGTATGAAATTATAACTGTTTTCTCCCAGTAGATAACACAACAAGTATTGTGTGATAACAGAACTGGAATGTAAAGGCAGAACATGAAAGTGAATAACGTTATCATTAAAACTTAATGTACACGAGGAACAATAATAGGAATGAGTAAAACACTACTTGTGAAATTTATGGGCTCCTTATTATACGTTCTGGATAATTTGATTTTGATATGTAAACAACACTTTATTTTAACATGCTGATACCCATTGGGTAACACTGAAAGATTGCCTAATACCACAAATAAGTGAGCCGCAATAATAACTCTTTATTTAATCAGTGATTTCTATGCTACAGTTGTTACATAGAGGTATTATAACATTTCCAAGAGGTTGGGATGGTAACTATAAAATAAAACTATATTAATTTAACAAGCACATGCAATCCATTATGTTTAACGATTATTAAAATATTTCACGTCTTTAAATCAACATTGACGAACTCTAATATACACATTAAATTAATCTGTAGATAGCTATATTTACCTTTAGATACATAAAGCTGTTTGATAATTTGCATTCAATGTCAACATTGCATTTCAAGCCTCTGGAGCATCATTCAAAGCGTTACAAAACTGAGTGCTCTAACAGCCGACAAACATCACAGCTGCTTCAACTTTTTTCCTATATATAAATATATTGATTATCGCTAAGTACTCTACTTTCAACTCGCCCGGCATGGCCAGGTGGTTAGGGCACTCGACTATCAAGCTGAGGGTGGCGGGTTCGAATCACCATCACACCAAACATGCTCGCCCTTTCTGTCGTAGGA